TATTATTACAGAAGATTAAACTGAGCATATTCTGTGAGAAACAGAACTTATATGAGGTGTTCTTAAACCGCATGCATTGTTGTGGATATGATTGAGAAACAGCAGACCTGTACCAGCCAAACACATCCCAGAATACAACACGAAAACATGCAGATGGCAGACAGGTGTCATTTCGTTTCAAATCTGCAGAGTGATGCAGGTCATTTCACCCACAGCCGTCTGGCCCCGGACAGATAAGACAACAGAAGCTTTTAGTCGTTAGCGTTCTGTGCCTGGTGCCACTCTTCTTCCCATCACTCACACAGACATGCTGCTCTGGAACATAAAATCAAGCTGGACCAAAGAGTCTCACCGTTATTCATTCATACACAACTGTATTCGTGATCTTAGTTTTTGATCAACTTGTTAAACGTGTCTGCTCCAAACAGTCAAGAAGTCTCACGTGATCAGTCGAAGGGAGGAGTTATGTTTGAATTTCGAGCGCGAGCGCCTCAGAGCCAATCAGCTTCGCCCTGACATGTATAAAGCGCCACAGCCTCAGCCCCAGAAGCATACTGTTCACAGTTCTCACACTGATCCGGAGCAGACGAGATGGCCAGAACCAAGCAGACCGCCCGTAAATCCACCGGAGGAAAGGCTCCGAGGAAGCAGCTCGCCACCAAAGCTGCCCGCAAGAGCGCCCCGGCCACCGGCGGCGTGAAGAAGCCTCATCGCTACAGGCCCGGGACCGTGGCTCTGAGGGAGATCCGCCGCTACCAGAAGTCCACCGAGCTGCTCATCCGCAAGCTGCCCTTCCAGCGCCTGGTCAGGGAGATCGCCCAGGACTTCAAGACCGACCTGCGCTTCCAGAGCTCCGCAGTCATGGCTCTGCAGGAGGCCAGCGAGGCCTACCTGGTGGGTCTGTTCGAGGACACCAACCTGTGCGCCATCCACGCCAAGAGGGTGACCATCATGCCCAAGGACATCCAGCTGGCCCGCCGTATCCGCGGGGAGAGGGCTTAAAGCGGCGGCTTCATTCTAAACACAACGGCTCTTTTAAGAGCCACCACTTTCTCAAAGATTGTCTTCTCTGGTCATGGTTAGAAGTTGTATTGTCAATAGGACTGATTTTGGAATAAGTTATAAAAACTACAGATCTTTAGGGATTACGCAACACATGCAGACTTCCCATGCTCTTTACTTTTTACAAAGTAAACACATTATCTTCACCATACTCCGCCAGCAGAGGGCGCTTCAGGTACGGTCAGTGAAGAACAGGCATCCAGCAAACCCTAGAGATAGACGTGCTGCACAAGTGGATGACATGAGCCACCAATAAGTAATTTGAACACATGAAATAGGAAAACATTCTTTGCATATAGAGTATGTAGTAGCATTAAAGGGGAGCACTACCCACAAAATACCTCACAAATTAAAGCTGCATTGTAGTTTTTCACAATATGAATATGGCTGATATTACAATAATTTTCACTTCATGTAATTTTAAACTTTTCTCATTAACTGGTAAATGAAAGCGTTTATTTATGCTCTTGTATACAGTATTTTAAAATTGGGCTTTGAGTTTATAAGTTGATACAACACATGCAAGCATCAAATCAGAATTCCAGTGTGTATTGTTCCTGATGGCCCGAGGAGAGGTGTATATAGTGTCCATCTAAGTGTAATTAAAATGGACACATTTACAGAGCACTTTATAGCTATCTAATTCCCATACCACACTACTGTCAGGAAACATCTCCACACAATCTGGTGTCTTATAAACATCTATATTGTATTACATGTTTACTGCACAAGCCCTTTGCTGTTTACATCTCTGATCTCATATTCATTACGCTATATTCTCTGAGCATGTGGATCTTTTGAACGGTTTCGTTTCAAACGTGGGTTTAGTTCACTGCTGTCCTGGAGGCTGCATTCTGCAATGGACGCGCGAGGGGCTCTTGGGATGTCTTGTGATTGGAGGACTCCTCTTCTAAAGGACCAATCAGGGCGTAGTAGGGCCTTTATAGCCGAGCTACAGCCGCGCTGCAGCACAGTTGTTTCTCTTGAGACTCATACTACACGTCACAATGTCTGGACGAGGAAAGGGCGCAGGTAAAGCCAGAGCTAAGGCCAAGTCCCGCTCATCCAGGGCAGGGCTGCAGTTCCCCGTGGGCCGTGTGCACAGGCTACTGAGGAAGGGTAACTACGCCCAGCGCGTCGGAGCCGGAGCCCCCGTGTATCTGGCCGCGGTGCTCGAGTATCTGACCGCTGAGATCCTGGAGTTGGCCGGTAACGCCGCCAGAGACAACAAGAAGACCCGTATCATCCCCCGCCACCTGCAGCTGGCCGTCCGCAACGACGAGGAGCTCAACAAGCTGCTGGGAGGAGTGACCATCGCCCAGGGAGGAGTGTTGCCCAACATCCAGGCCGTTCTCCTGCCCAAGAAGACCGAGAAGGCCAAGTAAAAGCCCTGAACAACCGCCACACAACGGCTCTTTTAAGAGCCACCCACTCCCTTAAAGAGAATCTTCTCTAATGTGTTTTTTTTTTTTTTTTTTTAATCTAACGTGAGTAAGGAGACTATACTACACTAAACTAATACCTTGTTTACAATAACTCGCGAATTTCCTTCCTACACATGTGGCTCAGAACAGTTACTCTCTATGTTGGTGCCATATGAACTGACTGCGGAGCACGGGGGGCTATCCTGCTGGGACTAGCACAGGGTCTGCTAGTGGTACCCGGAGCCGGGACTAAACCTAGGGAGGCAGCGTTTCAGATGTATGCCACTATCTGGAGCAATCTTCCTGAAAATGTGAAACAACTTTGACAGTGTTCAAATCCAGGTTGAACACGTTTGCCTGCGCGTATAACTGAAGGATCTTATGTCTACTTTTGCACTGTGGTTATTCATATTCGTGTTCCCTTTGATTTGGTTGATAATAATGGAACCGATGTATTAAGGCACACAATTAAAAGTACAGAATGGAATATATTTAAAAAGGTAGGTTTTGTGATTTGAAACAGTGAGGGTGTCGCAGGTCCAGTGGCAGTGTTCCAGAGGCTGGGTTGAATGGTTGTAATGTCCTGTGATTTTAATGTTTATGAGTTACGGCTTCATAGTGATAAAGCACAAAGCTGCAACGCACTTTGTGTTCTTCTGTGCAGGAAAAGCGCTCTACAAATAAATGTGAATTAAAAAGATGAATGAAACACAGACACTGCTGTGAAGTCCTTCACATTGCAGTCATTCATAGTGACGGCACGGTGGCTGAGTGGATAGCACTCTCGCCTCTCAGCAAGAAGGTCCTGGGTTCGAATCCTGGTCAGACCAGGGCCTTTCTGAGTGGAGTTTGCATGTTCTCCCCGTGTCTGCGTAGCTTTCCTCCGGGTACTCCGGTACCCCTACCACTAAAAATATGTCCAATAGTTCTGGCATGGGCCTCCTATACTGGCGACCCTGCTCCCATCTCTGTGTGGAGTGAGAGACAAATGCCCAAAAAATTAACAATTGTTTTGAAGCTTTGAGACTCAGATCTGCAGTGAAAAGGCGGTATATAAATAAAGATTACTTACTACTACTACTGCAAATGCTCCTGAACTATTGAAGAAACCATCTTCTCTACGGTCTGTAAGGAAACATCTACATAATATACTATGAACAAAGGCGTTAATAACTCCTAGGACCTTTAAAGTTTGACCACAAATGACACTGGCCCTGTCCTGTAAAGAGCGGAGCCGAGCCAATTTTTTTTTTTCCCCCTCATAATTATTGTTCCTCACGTAAACGTCCTGTTTGTGTAGAAACATAGTGACTGTGAAATGGCCGGCTCCGTTATGCGCGGGGAGGGGCCCCGCGTATGCGCCTCTCCGAAATAACGGCCATCTTTCCGCAGTCTTCAGCCACGTCCGTAGATGCCTTACAAGTTCAGCAGCGCAGTTCTCTGACCTCATCTGAGAGTTATACCACTAAACTGTCAAAATGAGCGGGAGAGGAAAAGGAGGAAAGGGACTCGGGAAAGGAGGCGCCAAGCGTCACCGCAAAGTTCTCCGTGACAACATCCAGGGCATCACCAAGCCCGCTATCCGCCGTCTGGCTCGCCGCGGCGGTGTGAAGCGTATCTCCGGTCTGATCTACGAGGAGACCCGCGGAGTGCTCAAGGTTTTCCTGGAGAACGTGATCCGTGACGCTGTCACCTACACCGAGCACGCCAAGAGGAAGACCGTGACCGCCATGGACGTGGTGTACGCCCTGAAGCGACAGGGCCGCACCCTGTACGGCTTCGGAGGTTAAACACGGCACTACAACGAACACCAACGGCTCTTTTAAGAGCCACCCACTCCAAAAAAGGAGAACCTTCGCAATTGATCAACATTTTTATATTGCTTGCTTGTTGCCAAGATGTTCTTGGCAAGGTCTCCCTCGTGAAAGAGCTTTTATCTCTAGGGACTTCCTGGTATAATAAAGGTTAAATAAAACGCATTTTGTACAAACAATTTGTGTGGGTCACAACTGCAACCAGAGGATGGGGAAATGGCTCATCACCAAATACAACGGCTCTTTTAAGAGTCACCCACCCCCACACAGAGACTAAACTTCTGTCGTGACAACTAAGACAAACTTATTTAATGACTTAACCAGTAGTTCCTTGCTCCAGCGACCTGTAACAGTAATTGTAACATTTGTGTCTATTTGAATTTGTACGATAGTGACTTGAGCACGAGGTCATTTTAGTTGTTTAAATCAGTGTTTTAAACTCCACTTATTATATGCCATGTCTCTAAATATTCCCATAAACCTAGAGGAGTTCCACTGTTTTTTGCTTTTTCTAACGCTCTCCGCAGTTTTCTTTGTCCTGTGTCCGTGTCATCGCCCAGAAAGAGCGAAAAGGAGAGAAACTCCAAGGGAGGGAGGTCTGACCAATCACGTGAGAGGAACAGCGCAGCTGCTCTGCATGACGCGAATATAAATAGAGCGCACGGACCCGCTCTCCGACAGTCTGTACTCGCAGAGCAACATGCCTGAGCCAGCAAAGTCCGCGCCCAAGAAGGGCTCCAAGAAAGCCGTCACCAAGACCGCCGGCAAAGGCGGCAAGAAGAGGAGAAAGAGCAGGAAGGAGAGTTACGCTATCTACGTGTACAAGGTGCTGAAGCAGGTGCACCCCGACACCGGCATCTCCTCCAAGGCAATGAGCATCATGAACTCCTTCGTCAACGACATCTTTGAACGCATCGGCGGAGAGGCCTCCCGCCTGGCGCACTACAACAAGCGCTCCACCATCACCTCCAGGGAGATCCAGACCGCAGTGCGTCTGCTGCTGCCAGGAGAGCTGGCCAAGCACGCCGTGTCCGAGGGCACCAAGGCCGTGACAAAGTACACCAGCTCCAAGTAAACGAAGCCGTTTACAGAACAACACAACGGCCCTTTTCAGGGCCACCCACATCTGCCAAAGACTACACTTCTCCCACATGTCGTTTTTACTAAATGAAGGACATGTCCAGTGAAAGAAGTAAAATTTGCATCAGTATAATCTCCTCACGATGTTCAAATATGATCCAGAGTTATAAAACTGTGCATTCTACTTACTATTTCTGGTCCTGTCCCACATGGTCGTAGTGATCGATTAATGTGGTCCTTCGTTTTGACCAGGTCTGATTTTTACAAACACTTCTGGGACAATGTGTCTCGCGAATAACCGTCAAAAGATTGAATGGACACAACTCGTGGTAGAATTTCTATTAAGCACTGATTGTATTAATTCGAGCAGAAATTAGACCTTACTCAGTTTATGGACTTTTTGCTTACAGTATGTACATGCACACATATTTACATGAATATATATCAAAGCAACACTATGTGCCATAGTTTCACATGTGTGTTTACAAATGTATTTCTATTTGTCAGCTCGAAATGAAAGTAGAAACGTGTAGACTCCCCCATGAACATAATTTAAATACATTCATGAATTTGTTTATTATTGAATAATAATGACTTTATAAATAGAATTCTTCTCCGGCCCCCATTTTATTCACATATTTTGAATGTTATCCTGTTAATTCAAAGTTAATACATTTATCAAGTTCCTGTTTGCCTGGACTCTGTTGCATATTTGTATATATTGCTTTGAATAAATTAATATTCGTACATGCATATTTATAAGATAGATACAGATGTTTATATCTATATTAATACATTATAAATTGTACCAAGCTTCATTAGTTATTTTTCCCAACAGAAAGTCTTTCAGTATTACTTTTCCACAACCTGCTGTCTCCATCTGCAGTCTGACTCCTCTTTAAAACATCTACATGTACAAGATTAAAGTCTATCATGTTATTAGTTATTAGTGTTGGCTCGTGTATAACAATGAGTCATTCTCAGTCAGTTGGATGAACGCCCATCCCCCATGTGCCCTACAGTCTTCAACAACGTCCGCAGATGCTGAATAAACACAGTGGAACAGAGCTAGACTCTCACACGTCTTTGTGTTTCCCATCTGTGATCAACAATTATGAGCGGGAGAGGAAAAGGAGGAAAGGGACTCGGGAAAGGAGGCGCCAAGCGTCACCGCAAAGTCCTCCGTGACAACATCCAGGGCATCACCAAGCCCGCTATCCGCCGTCTGGCTCGCCGCGGCGGTGTGAAGCGTATCTCCGGTCTGATCTACGAGGAGACCCGCGGAGTGCTCAAGGTTTTCCTGGAGAACGTGATCCGTGACGCCGTCACCTACACCGAGCACGCCAAGAGGAAGACTGTGACCGCCATGGACGTGGTGTATGCCCTGAAGCGACAGGGCCGCACCCTGTACGGCTTCGGAGGTTAAACACAGCACTGTAACGAATACCAACGGCTCTTTTAAGAGCCACCCACTCTGACAAAGGGACTTTTCTTCTGTTATGTAATGAAAGCATGTCAGCTGTGCCTTCAACTTAAAGGTTTGAACGTCCACAAGATTCAGTAGGACTTGGACCGTACAGATAGTTGGATGTATTTTAATATGTATTTGTTTTAGTTGAGATGCATCGCACCTGCACCCAAAAGCACCCCAGGCTACTTATGTGTAATACAATCACCGGCTTATTACAACACTTACTACATGTAATGCAGAGCACTGTAAACACAGAACGAAGCCGCGGGCATGAGCAACCAGTTTTTTTTCAAATGATTCTTAATTGCAGTTTGGACCAATATAGGTAATCAATTTCTACAGTAGAGGTGAACGTTACTTCGCACAGTATGCAGGGCATCACAAGTGTGCAGTGAAAGTATGTTAGTTTTATTTTTAAATGATTAAATGATGCAGAGCTATGTGTTCTCACGGTGCTCATCTCTGTGTGAATCTGAAACATTTTCAGTCACCACATCAAACAAAATGTACCTCATAACTGCATAGATATCCTGGAGCATGGCAGTTTTATTTGTATAGCACAAGCACAAACTGCAACTCAAAGTACAAAAACAAGATGGAAAGAATATAAGGCCTTACAATCATAAAAAAATCACAGACTCTAAAATTCTCAGTTGTCTTACAGCTAAAAATAACAGTTTTTTTAACATTGTCAGCCGAAAAGCCTGTCTCACGTTTTCAGAAAGACTGTTCCACATTGTAGCGGCGTGGATCTGAAATGCTGCCGGAGGCCAGTCCCTGTGCTCCTCAGAGTCTGAGTCGGTTTACATGGCAAGAAAAGGTCTCGGATGCAGTCTTGTGCGAGGCCTTGAAGAGACACAAGCTGAGACCTGACAACTGGACTAATGTGATCACACTTCCTGGTTCTCATCAGGACTCGAGCTGCAGCAAAGGGCTTGTGCAGTAAACAGGTAATACAATATAGATGTTTATAAGACACCAGATTGTGTGCTGAAATAGAGCGTTCACATTGGACTACAGGTTCTGCTGCAGACCAAATGTTAAAACTACCAGAACATTGATGGTACACCACCTGCAGACTGCTGTAATGTCTACGTCTTCATGAGACTCATGAAGATCCAATTCAGTCTAATATTGACCATTCTAAACAGTTGTAATAGTAGTGTTATGATAACTTAATCATAACATCATAATCATAAATAAATAATAAATGCATTCATGTAGAAACTACGCCTGACTTTGGGTGTTATATCGGTTTCTCCCAATGAGCTCAGTGCAACTAATAAAGTTTCTTCTGTCAGTCAAAACAGAAGTGCTGAGTGTAAACAAACTAATGAACGGGTGAATGTTGATGTTAGAGCAAAGTGATCATCCTTATACAAAATATCTCCCCAAACAAAGGGAAACATGGGAACAGTGTTGCGTGGTTCAAACCCGCTGCTGCTGGTGTGTTACTACCGCCGACATCTTTGTTAAATACAACTATACGCTGCTCTCAAAGCGAAAGTTTAAAGACTGTAAATAAAACTGTGATGTGTCCTCTCTTTGTGGAAATGCCCAATATCTGTCATTAAAGGAGAATCAAGACGTTTTTAACGCTAAATGTAGGAAAAAGTCCTCGCCCTGAGTTGAATCATCACAGACATCCACGTGGTTTTGGGCATTAAACTCCGTTACAGACATTCTAATTGAGAAAAAGACAGTTTCTCCTCAAAGCAGAGCTTTTTCCGCACACGAGGATGTATGACATGATTGTGAAACGTCTTTTATTTGTTTATATTTTAACTCTAAAGTGCGAAGAGAAAACACAGAGCGGAGCCAGCGACACTGAGCAGAGCGGGTTGAGTCTCTACGGTTCTCATAGCCGTTATAAACCTCCTCCTCGCGCCTCCGTCTCCACTAGACTCAGATCTAAACCTCAACACGAGCCATGGCAGAGACCGCACCCGCAGCACCCGCTCCGACCAAATCCAAGGCCCCCAGGAAGAAGGCCGCCGCCAAGAAGAGCGATGGCCCCAACCTGGGAGCCCTCATCAAGGCCGCCATCGCGGAGTCCAAGGAGCGCAAAGGCGTTTCCGTGGCCGCCGTGAAGAAGGCGCTGGCGGCGAAGGGCGTCGATGTGGTCAAGGCCAACAAGCGCATCAACAACACCCTGAAGAGGATGGTGCTCAACGGCGTAGTGAGCCAGACCAAAGGCACCGGGGCCTCCGGCTCCTTTAAACTGGCCGCGAAGGAAGCCAAGCCCAAGACCGCAAAGAAGGCCCCCGCCAAAGCCAAGAAGCCCGCAGCAAAGAAAGCGACCACCCCCAAGAAGAAGGTGGTGAAGAAGGCCAAGTCCCCTGCCAAGAAGGCGGCCAAGAAGCCCGCAGCAAAGAGCCCCAAGAAGGTGGCCAAGAAGCCCGCAGCAAAGAGCCCCAAGAAGGTGGCGAAGAAACCCGCCAAGAAGGTGACTCCCAAGAAGCCCAAGGCCGTGAAGAAGAGCCCCAAGAAGGCAGCAGCAAAGAAGGCTGCTCCCAAGAAGGCCAAGAAGTAAACTCCTGTGTGTGTGTGTGTTGTTTTTCAACTCAAAGGCTCTTTTAAGAGCCACCTCCTCCGCTAGAGAGACGCTTCTGGTCATTGTACAAATCACACTGAGGATCTGCATAAGAACTAGTGGAGACTGTTGTTATACCGCATTTATACAAGAAATATAAGATGTGCAGGGTACGACATGGTTAGTACTGTGATGGGAGACCGCTCCGGACACCACGTGTCACAGTGCCGTGGATGTATAGTGCCAAACTGGTTGTGTCCACAGGCAAGACACTTTCCCCACATTAGAAGGAGTCCCGTGTATGTGTGAATTGTTGGTGGTTGGGAGTGCCGATGGCATATACTGGTTCCCTCGCTTCTGTCAGTGTGCTCCAGGGCAGCTGTGGCTACAGCAATAGTATATCACCACTGTGTTTGGAGTGAAAGGGTAATGCACAAATGTATTTCTATTTACTATTTGTTAGCTCGAAATGAAAGTAAAACTTGTAGACTCCCACAAGAACATAATTCAAATTCATTCATGAATGTATTTACTAATGAATAATAGTAACATTATTACTTTTATGCAGTTGCACCTTGTGAATTACATTAGATGAAGTTCATCAAGACAAGGTATGTTTATTTCTTAGATACAAATCATACACGGGGTAAATGTTTAGAGTAAAGAGATTTAAAACTCGTGTGTGTCAGGTCTGTTGCTTTGAGCTTTACTCGGCTGAACAAAGGGGTGTCACGATTTAGTAATTCAACGGTTCAATTTGCAAAACGACACCAGGACCCAATATTCACGATGCGTTGGCATGTGTAAAAAAATAAAAAAAATATCAAATATCTTTTTTTGGCTCCAGTAATACATGTTGCAGTTAGATGATTTGCTACGATTTTAAGGCCAGGTTATTTTTTTTTCGAAAACAAGAAACACAATTTAAAAAAAAAAAAAAGGTAGCCTTTGTGTTAACACTCTCTGTAAGAAAAGAGATCACATGTTTTAT